TGGGAAGAGCTTCTCCCCGGCGGCGCTTCCCGGGCCCTGGGAAGAGCTTCTCCCCGGCGGCGCTTCCCGCCGCTGCCGTTTGCAGAGCGCGCTCCCCGGCTCGCTGCCATCAAGTTCCTCCGTCAGTCATGTTCAGGAGGCCTTTCGCTAACCAATATATATATATATATATATATATTATATTTTCCTTCCCGCACTGTCATGGTTTTGTAACTTGTGTTTTTAATTGATGAAAAATGCTTCACCTTCTGCAGAGTGCCGTTGCTAACCTTTATAGTAGGGCCCAGGTACAAATTAGGCAGAGAGCAGCGCTGGCACCCGTTTGTGAAGCCCCTGCCTGAACAAATTTTGGAAGACTTCACTCCTCCCATAGCTGTTGTCCCAGCGGGAGCTGGTGGCTGCCACAACAGGGCCACCAGGTCCCTCTGCAAGCCATAAATGAGTTTTGGTGCTTTCCAGTGCTGTGGGAATCCAGCTCCCAAGGGAGCAGGGAAGGTGAACTCCATAAACAGCTTCTGTTTTGCATTTTTCCTGGCGAGTTAAAGTGATGGTGCCTTTGTGCCAGAGGGAGGCCGAGCTGCCCAGAGGAGGGGTGATACCGGGATGTGATGCACCTTCCATGTAGTTCTGCTGTCAGCAGCAATAACACAGAGACTGACTCCTTCTCTTCCCTGATTTCTGTGCTTGCTGTCAAGTTCTGTGGGGTTTGCAGGTGCCTTCCACCTTCAGATWGGTTCCCAGGGCACTTTATCTTCTCCTTATTCTCTTAGACTTTAATAATAACTGCATACAGGAGTAAAGGAGAGCGTGTATATAAATCATAATTGTGACCAATTCCATCGTCATATCTTTCTGCTTCTTATAAATTAATGTTAGCTCACAGCAGGGCGCACACCACTACATTCTCTGCTTCGTTTGCAATGTATTAAATGTGTCGCGTCCAGATCAGGCCCAGGAGAACAAGCAGCAGGTCAGAGTTGTTTCTGTTTGTTGTGGACTCGGTTTTAAACCTGCTCTTTATCATGACACTTCGTCCGTTTTCCAATTCGTGACAGGAGATGTGTGAGTAGGTATTAAGGGCACTGTTTATTTTAGCTTGCAATCTGGGAGCTGTGCATGGGGTATAACAGGTATGAACAGGGCTTATAGTATGAATGAACTGAATGAACATTTAATAAACATGTTTTTACATGTGTTAATGTGGCTTGTAGACTTACTTTTACCCTTTTTTTTTYCCTTTCATACAAGTGAGAAGAGAGCATAAGAGAGATGTGCAAAAATGGGTGCTCTAAGCAGCACATGTGTCTGGTTCTGCTCGCCAGGTGCCTCCTGCAGTGCGTTTGTGCCGAGCCCACAGCTGCGCAGTCTAAGTGGGCAGTATAGTATCAGCTGGTGCTGTCAGTGGGATCCTACTCTCCTTCCAAAATCTCCAGTAATTTTGCTCTTGTTTCTATGTGAAAGACGGTGCAAAAATACTGTGTTAAAATGGGGTTCTAGGCATGGGTTTCAAGGAAGCATGTCTGTCTGCTTCCCTACTTGTTGGAGTTGGCAGCCGTATCATAAAACTGTCAAAGCCCCCTTTCCAAACCCTTTTTTTTCCCACAAATATAGTCGAAGTATCTGCTTATACCCCTTCCAGGCTGCTAAAACCACTTAAAGAAATGTGTTTCTCACTGTGCTCATTACAGCCCTCTGTGAACACAACTGAAAGAGGAACTGGAGCATTTTCAGAGTCTTAATTAACCTCTTGCCAAGTGTGTTTGTATCTGAAATAGCATGAGCTTTAGAGACCAACACAGAGTTTCCCTTTTTGTTTGTGGCACATGCAACAATGCTATGAATTTCATCAGAAGTGACCACCTGAGTAGTAAGTTTAAGTTTTTGTAGAAATCTACCTCAAATCTAACCAGATTTTTTTGATAAAGTCCTGATTCAGAAGCAGGTTTCTCTGGAGCCGTTGCAGCTGGTTGRTTTTGCAATGCTTACTTGCTTTTGCTCATGGTGTTGCTGCTAGGGTCATGGTGTGCACCTAGATATTTTTGCAGAATTACAAGGTGTGTCTAGGATTTCCTTAAGCATCTGTGAGTCATACAAAGGTGGTGAGTTCCCTGATACCTGCTCTGCCATTTCTGCCCTTTACCCTTCAGTAGAGTTAACTCCCAGAGTTTCGGTGAAAACCTCACCAGCTTCTCATTCTTCAAAGCTGAGGCCTGCATCTGCCTGCAGGCATTTTGGCTTGAGAGGCTGTTGTCCTAAAGAGGGTGGTGTGGCATTAGGTGCTTTAGCAGAAACRATTGACAGACTGACTTTGGTTGAAGCTGTGGTGTAGAAAAGCTGGAAATTGCTCAAAATTTTTATTTGAGTCTGAAGAAAGGTTTGTTTTTCCTGCACCAAGCAGCCAGGTTGGTGATTGAGACTAGCYTGGGGAGATGTGTGTATGAAGACACTACAGCTGGTCGTAGCCCACATTATAAGGACGCTGGGTTGCTGCACGTTGGACTGCCTGGTTTTTATGCTTTCACATTGTTTCATAAAAAGGAAAATTCAATATTGTTGTTAAAAGCATGRGATTTTTGAAATATCTTTGTGTCAGTTTTGTTTCTCCTTTCTGGAAGCTTGGGCACTTCTGAAAGAAGTTATAATCCCGAGCTTAAAGGCAAAGATAACCAGCCCATCAGCAGAAGCAGGATATGGCTCCTCTGGCTGTCTGCAGCTTCCCTTTTCYCCCTCTGACTCTGTCCTTCCTGACATACATGGGAGGGAAATATGGAATGCAGGGAACTGCCTTGGAAAGGCTGTGCAGCATCTCTTGTGTATCTCTAGCTATTAAAAAAAAGTCTTTTTATAATATTTATTAATAAATATTTCTTTATTATTCTGATGACAGGTCAAATACCAAGACTTTCTAAGGTCAATCTCTTCACTTTGTTCAGTCTCTGGATGGAGCTCTTTCCCTCACCTGAACAACAGAAGAAATCACAGGTAAGGGACATACACTTACAGTAAACTGATTTTTCTGAACAAGTGCTAATAGCTTCTGCAGTGAATATAACCACATTTCTCTTTACATGACATGACATGTGGCTCTTTACATGACATGGCATGCCTCCAGAAAACACAGGAATCTACGTGTGAAAGATACTGTGAGTGATAAGACAGGTTTTTTTTTTCATAGAAGCTTCTTTAGAAACAAGATTGGTTTCTGCAAATGAAGTGACCAAAAAAAGACTAGACAGGCAGTTGACTCTCAGGCTGGTCAAGATTAAGACAGATTTTAAATTCATCAGCAATCTCAAAGGGTTTTCCTGCATCACCCAGAGTACCCCCAGGTACTCTGTCACCTCCAAGGAGTGAATTTGGTGGTGGTAAAACTGAAACCTCCAGGTTTTCAGTTTTAATTGACATTTTTCTATGCTCCCCGTGTTGTGCCCATAAACCAAATCTAGCCYAGGGAAGACAGGAACTTGTGACAAATCTTAATTTGAAGTTTAACAGGGGCATAATACTTGGATGTTATCATGCACATGCAGAAATTACTGGAGGAAAAAAAGTTGCATAGAGGAAATGGAATCATAAAAAATATTTGTGATTCCTATGCAAATTTTTGTTGAGAAGCAGTACGCTCAGATTCTGACTAGCTAACAGGGTGTTACTATAACATGTTGGACACTGCTTGAGATTGCCAGGGCTTCAGCAGGCAGGATTCTTCTAATAACAGCCTGTGCTAAAATTATTTTTTTGTGTTTTATGTAAGCTTGTGTTAACACTTAACTGATGTGAGCATGGTCATACCTTTTTTATCAACATCACTTACAAGAAAAGCTAAACTGCTAACTGATAAAACTGTCTGSCAATTAACATTTTAATTTATATATTTTATAAAGCTTTAAAAACTAAATGTTCAGAAGTATGTATTCTAACAATAGACTACACAGAATAAATACACAAGTAAGCACAAGACTCTAGCAAGACTTTTGGCTGGGATTACTGTTAATGAGTTTAAATTTAATGAGCTGTGACATCTCTATCAACTTGATGCTAAAATAAATCAAATAGTAGTGGTTTTTTTTTTTCTTCCCTGTAGGTAAAGAAGAGTGGTCTTGTTGTTGTGAAAAACATGAAGATTGTTGGTCTTCATTGTTCCAGTGCCGAGTTGCACGCTGGTCAGATTGCACTCATTAAACATGGATCAAGACTTAAAAACTGTGATCTTTATTTTTCCAGAAAACCCTGCTCGACTTGTTTAAAAATGATTGTAAACGGTAAGCAAATGGCTGTAGTACAGCAGCACTGAGTGTGGTGGTGTGAGAAAGCCAGTTTCCTTCTTGGATTGTTCCAGTTTTCAGTCCTGATCTCGAACTTGCACAGCCTGCACTGATGTCTTCCAGAGGGCTGAAAGCAGAACTGATTGTGCATTTCCAGCAACTGGTGATCCAGAAAGTGGGATTTGCCAACGAATTGCCACCAACACCTTATTTTTCAGTGCCACCAATATTGCTAGGGAGCTTGTCTCTTGGATAGGATGCACCACTGAGATTGATGCACAGGTGGCACTTTCCCAAGGCACCCTAAGCTTGATGACTAGGCCTGGCTTGCTAAGCTAAACACCCTTTAAGCAGCACCCAAGACCTTCACAGGGTGAAAACAAAGTTATGAGGCAGCGTGTTGAACATGAGGTTTATATTACACTGTATTTGCACAATTGCTTTTACTCCATTCCCTTGTCTTACAGCTGGAGTGAACAGAATTTCTTACTGGCCTGCAGATCCCGAAATCAGCTTGCAGAATGAGGCGTCCAACCCCATGACTACTGACGATGCGAAGCTCGATGCCAAAGCAGTGGAGAGATTGAAGTCCAACAGTCGTGCTCGTGTGTGTGTCTTGCTCCAGCCCTTAGTGTGCTATATGGTGCAGTTTGTTGAAGAGACTTCCACCAAGTTTGATTTTGTTCAAAAGATAGCGAGGTCTCAGCCTGACTTWAATACTGACTTTTATACTGAATGTAGACAAGAAAAAATAAGAGAGTATGAAAGTTTATTCCTAATCTCAAATGAGGAAACACACAAGCAGATATTGAGGACAATAGGCCTGGAGAATCTCTGTGAAAATCCGTATTTCAGCAACCTTAGGCAAAACATGAAGGACCTGGTCTTGGTGTTGGCGACGGTGGCTGCCAGTGTCCCAGTGTTCGGGAGCTTTGGGTTTTACTGCCGTGAGCCGCAGGCGACAAACGAAACCTGTCATCAGGGTCTGCCTCAAGAAATCGCCCGGCACTGCATGGTTCAAGCCAGGCTGCTCGCCTACCGCACAGGTGAGTTGTGACRGGGTGCGTGGAAGCGAGTGCTTCACAGCATCACAGGATGGTTGAGGTCGGAAGGGACCTCTAGAGATCAYCCAGTCCAACCCCCTGCTCCAGCAGGGACACCCAGAGCACGGGGCACAGGGCGGCATCCAGGCGGGTTTGGAAGATCTCCAGGGAAGGAGACTCCGCAACCTCCCTGGGCAGCCTGTGCCAGGGCTCTGKCACCCTCATAGTGAAGAAGTTCCTCCTCACGTGGAACTGCCTGTGTTTCAACTTACACCCATTGCRCCTTGTCCTGTCACTGGCCACCACTGAGAAGAGTTTGGCCCCATTTCTTTACATTCTCCCCAAAGATACATACTGATTAGACCCCCTCTCAACCTTCTGCAGGCTAAACAGGGCCAACTCACTTAGCCTTTCCTCATATGCCACATGCTTCCATTCCTGCATCTTTAAATCTGTAAAAGCACTTAAGTTTTCCACAGCAAAAGTCAGTGCATATCCTGTGCAGTGCTGGCAAAGCCTGCCCTGCCAACACATGTCATCTGTCTCAAAGAAAACAATAGTATTTTCACTCTTCAAGCTGCTCTGTGTTCTTTTTACTGATCCCTCACAAGACTTTTCTCTTGTGCTGAACATATTGCCACCTATTTGATATTATATATGCTCATTCAGAAAACAGCAGTGGAATAACATTCCTCCYGGAGGAGGATCTACTCTTTTTTTGTTTACAAAGACTTTGGAGATTTGACACACAGACTTTCTTGCTTTTTTTTGTTGTTGTTGTTATTTGTTTTTTAATTAACTTTATATTTTTGGGTGACTATTACTTCTGTCTATGCAGCAACGTAGTAAGTTGGTGAATCSTCTTAGAAATGACTGCTCTGGGGGCTTAAAATCTAGTGATGCTCCTTAGTGACGTTTCCTTTCCATCTAGATTGACAGGTGTTTTTTAAAACCCTTTTAGAGAAACAAGTGATGTGTATTTAAAGCTTATGCATAAAGCTCTGTGATTATAATTGCATACCTGATGTTGTGCAGAGAGGCTAAAATGCCCCAACTTCAATGTTCATTCTTGGTGCCGCAAAATCCGGTTGCATCTGTGTTGCCCAGCCTGGGCTTAGGGCTGTGTTTGAACAGACTCTTACTCCACTTTAGTCTTGGCTCAAGGTCCTGCTCCTGTGTGAATTTAAATAAATAACAGCTGTCGCATACGAATACTTGACATAATCATATGGGAGACTATCAGAAGGGGAAGGTCATAAAATACTTTCTGTGCTGGGTTTAATGCATGTCAATGAGTAATACATAATTAAAGGCAAATAAAGTTATCAGCTTGTGGCAGGAATAGACCCTCTGTGAGTAAGGGTATGTGGTAGTAATAGGAAAGGTGATGAGAAGTGGTTAACTGAAACAGATTTGTCTCCAATATTCATTGCTGTGGAAGCCCCATTTATTTATTTATTTATTTATTTATTTATTATTAATATGCTCTTTTTTAACTGGTCAAGACTCATCAGTAACTCCATGGAGTTTCCAAGCTGCAAAAAAGACTTTCAAGTTGCACAGTGGGAAGTTTTGTTTGTTTTTGTTTGTTTGTTTGTTTTCTCCAGTATTCCTGCAGTGGTGATAGGAAACAGTCCWCAGAATTTGGTTTTTAACTAGGTAGGTTAGGTGTAGGTTAGGTATAAAATAAAACAATTTCCTGTCTTCAGGTTTATTCAGAACCTTGCAATTGGCAGAAATTAATTTTAGTAGTAAACAGGAGGGGTTTTAAGGTCTGTTTTGGAGCCTCAAATGAGCTAAGCTGTTTGTGCACATTCTTGGCCCCCATTTTCAAATCTGACATGTGCATTAATTACTTCTGAGTATTTGCCAGGTCTTTGGCTGACAGACTGCACTCTTGCTTTGACAGTGCACTCGGGTGGCTTTGAAGCTCTCGTCTTTCTGTGCTTTCATCCCCAAAGCACCCAGAATGTTCCTCCTCTAATTTCCTATACTAACGTGTAGGTGAAGTTCAGGTGCCTTGTGTGCTTCTTGCTTGCTTACTGCTAAACATCTTGTGTTTCAGAGGACCATAAAACGGGAGTTGGAGCTATTATTTGGGCAGAAGGAAAATCTGTAAGTATGGAAGAAGTTACCCCCTCTTGTACTCACAGTTCATACAAGGGTATCCCCTTGGCATTTATTTTWCTTTGACCAGGCATGTATATAAACTTGGACACACAGTGCTATGGAAAACTTAACACTGACAGCCAGTAATTTAGTTATCAAAGAATAAGAAGTTTACCTCATCAAGATGAAGGAGCAGTTCAAGTTTTTGCTCGTTCCTCTGTGCACATGGGTTTTGGAGAGGCAACAGGGCAATCAYGGCCTGACAGTGCAGCCCCAAATTCCAGCCTTTGTATTTGTTGTCCATTGCAGAAAGGTTTAATGTCTAAATCCTCAAGACTTTCTGTTGGTGCTGTCAATAGGCCTTGCTAAAAGAAAAGCCTCTARACCCCAGTGCTGTGTACTGTTTGTGGTCCAGGCAGCCCTTATGGGGCTCTCTSGAAAAGTTTCACACTGTAGTTGAACTTAGAATTTAGTTGAGTTTTAATTGCTCTCACTTAGGAAGAATTCAAAATGCTCAGGTGCTAGATGAAACGTGCAGTGTATGTTGAGCAACACTTTGATTTAGTGCACTCTTCAAACGGCTCCAAATGCCATGATCTTCTTGCGTTGCAGAGAAGCTGTGATGGAACAGGGGCCATGTATTTTGTAGGCTGTGGTTACAATGCCTTTCCTGCTGGATCCGAATACGCTGATTTTCCACACATGGATGACAAACAAAAAGATCGGGAGATCAGGAAGTTCAGATACATTATCCATGCCGAGCAGAACGCCCTGACGTTCAGGTAATGGGTTTATTTGTTACCACAGAAGAGAATGAACAAAAATGCCATGGCAGGAGCACGATGCCGAGGTGTGGGCTGCGCTCACGGCCTTGTCTGTGCCTACAGTGCAGAGCTTGGGTGGAGATAGAGGGTCTGAGTCACCTTGCAGTAGAAGGTGCCTAGTGTCCTCCCAGCACAAGCCTCAGCCTCTGCTAGGGCTGTGCTCTAGCATGAAATATGGAAGTTTCTGATAGATGAATGTRGCAAGGTAGTGGTGGGGAGTCCATTGATGGGCAGTAGAGCCCCACCAGATGTCATCTTATGCACTTGACTAGGAGCGAGCTGCTGCGGAGAGCGGAGGATAACAGCACTCCTTTGCTTGCTCCCATGAGAGGCCAGGTTGTCTCCATTCAAACCTAGCGAGACCCAACGTTGCAACCTAGCGAGACACAACGTTGCCTGTTCATTYCTGACTCCTCATAGGTGTCAGGAGATAAAGCCAGATGAGAGGAGCATGATCTTCGTGACCAAGTGTCCCTGCGACGAGTGCGTGCCTTTAATCAAAGGGGCTGGAATCAAGCAGATTTACGCAGGAGATGTGGATGCTGGGAAGAAGAAAGCAGACATCTCCTACATGAAGTTTGATGAACTTGAGGGCGTTAGCAAATTCACAGTAAGTGCCTGAATTTCCTGCTGTTTTAGAACAGCAGGATGAGAGGGAGGAGCGGCCGACGCAGCGTCACCCCGCCAGCACGTGCTGTTTAATCGGAGCAAGTGGAATGGGGAGGCTGCTTGCACAGGGGAGGGCAGAACGTGCCCATTTTGTGCTGCTCCTTCCTTGCAGGTTTCCCTCCAACTTCTTGGTGCTGCTCCAGGAGGTCTGTCCCACCTGAAGGTGGAAGGAAGTTCCCTGAAATCCTCCCCTTGCCTTTCCCATGCAGAGCAGTGGCTACCAGGGGGAGGTGGCCCCTCCTGAAAAGGGATCCTTCCTGCAACCAGTGTGTTTGGGAGGTGGGCACCTGCATTTGGGGGCACTCACCAAACTGCAGCACTTGTTGGTTCAAGCAGGCTTGTTTCTCCTTCTCAAGGGAATAAATGGGATATTCTCTTTCTCCCCCCACATCTTTCTGTCTTCTAGAGCGAGTAAACTTTTTTCTTCTTCTTACAGTGGCAACTAAATCCGTTTCACACTAATGTCCTTGAMTTCCACGATCCTGCAGCCAGAGAAAGTAAGTGTTTTCCATTAATGCATTTTATGATTGAAGTCAGTGACATTCAATTTTGAACAAACCTGAACTCCTCTGGGTTTGATAAAAATGAGTTAAATTTCACTGTAAAAACTTGTCAGAACTTTTTGGATAGATGAACTAAGGATAAGCCCAAAACATAAATGTAACAAAATCTCGGCCTTGCATTTGCTACAAAATCTAGTAATCCTGTTATCAAATGTGTTGTTTGGCACATTGATCCTTCCAGACTACTGTATCGTGTTTTATATCATGATCTAAAAAGATTCTGAAGTACTTCGGAGTGTTGTTGTTTTTCAGGGGAAATTGGTCTCTGCCAAATCATCTAAATCTTTTGTGGAAAATTCCAAAACTTTTTTTTTGTGGAAAATTCCAATACTCCAATACTACTTATCATGTAGATTCTGTGCCAGGACTTTTCAGTCACTTTTTTTTTTTCCCTTTTTTTCCCTGTTTCTGCTGTTTTGATGGCAGCTGATGCCGCACATGAGCCTTGACTTCCTGCCCCCTGTAGCAAGGGAGCTGTCACCTTGTGGCAGGAGAGTTTAAATGAGTGTTAGGCCAAAGTGCTGCAAAAGAGACCAAACATTGACATCTGGGGTCAGCCCTTCCAATGGTTCTCAGCCAGTGGGGAAAATCATGGAAAAAAGAAGCTAAATAATTATTCTTTGTGACTCAGGCAGAGAGCTATTTTCCAGCAAGGATCTGGTTGTTACTCAAGGCCTTGAGTGCTTTCCTAGGAACACGGGAGAGACTCTGGGCGTGTTTGCACCCCGTGAGCTGCTGCGCGCTGACTCCCTGCGTGCCGTGGRCCAGATGAGCACAGATCTTGGCTGCCTTCTTAGAAGCCCTGGCTTGCTCAGGGCGCTATTAGGAGCGTTAGTCATCCCTGCAGAGCAGCAGCCCTTGTTTGCCCCTGTCTCTGCTAATGGTTTTCAGGCCCACCTGGGAAAGATGGGTCACGGGGCGCTTTGTTTGGCAGCCTCCGACGGGCTCATTTTGCTGGTGCTGGTCCCTTCAGGAGGGCGCGTGGCCCTTCTCAGCACCAAGCTCCGGTTCAGGCTTTTCTTTCCTTACCATGTTCCCCTTGTTCTGGTAGCTGCATGATCCTAAAACGGGACAGAAGACACACACTGCTCCCCCTGAGTATTCCTCCAGCATGCTGTGGGCATTCACACTGTGCTTAGGATTGTGTTAATAAATTTGACCTTTTTTTTCCCTTTTTTCCTTCCTCAGACGGGGTCCAGAAAACAAAATCCCTGGATGACCAGCAGCACCAAAACAAGAAGCTGTGTCTTGGCCACTGCTGAATAGTCAGCACTTCGGCACGCCCGCTCTGTGCTTTTAAAATGCAGCCTCTTTGCACTTTCAAATAGGGAAGGGTTTTATTTATTGTTTGGAAAGTKGTTTTTAGAATAAGTTTATTTATGAGGTCAAAACTGTTTTATAGACTTTTTAATTTAGAAGCTCCAGGGAGGGAAGCATTACCTGTGTTCTCTGTGCAAGGAACTGGGTGGCTAATCATTGTTAATGTGCTTAAAACGAAAAATAACAACAGCCTGAAAAGTCAGTGCCACTAGGTCAGACTCATAGTAAAACGGTGCCCGTTGGGCACGGGCTGCGCATTGAGGAAATGGGTTCCTAAGCTCCTGGTTCTCCYGGTACAGCACTTGGGGGTCTCCAAGGCGGGCGCAGTTTGGAAACCTCCGAGTCCCCAGGGGCTGCACGGAGGCCAGCCCGGCCCTGCTCACGGCCTGGGCTCCAGCCTGGGAGCACTGGGACTCCGGGAATGCCTGGGATCCCGCGCAAGGAGAGCGGGAGTAGGGGSGCCTCGCGGGGATCACAGGCAGCCCACAGGCCACGTGTGGAGCCCAGGCGGAGCGTTTGGGAGAGGAGCCCAGGTTAGGCCCTCGTGGTGCCGGTGCTGRGGGGGTAGTGGGGTAGGTGCCGGGTTGTATCCCATCCTGAGAGGTCCCTCTCCCTACACCCGTTGGTAACTACAGCAGAGCTGTGGTTCTGCAGTGTGTGAAGGAGCTTTAACGTGGCAGCCGTTGCAGACGGGCTGTTCCTGCCCGGTGTTGCCGCCCGTGCTGCCTGGCGCTGCAGCTTGGAGCAGCGATGCCGTGGGGCGCTCGGGACAGGGTTGTGCTTCTGAGCCTGGTGCCACAGCTGGGCACCAGGGACCTGCTGCCTCCCTGCCTCGCCGGCCGGAGCTGCAGGAGCTGCTGCTACTTCCCTGGCCCAGGTAAATCCAAGACCCTTCCAGGTGCACGGGGGTGKCAGCAACTCCATCAGCTCCGCTTCCGGCCCCACGGGCATTGGCTCTGTCACCCACGGCGTGAGCAGAGGGCAAGCGGGAGCCGCCACGGCAGGCAGGGGCAGCTCTTTGCTGGGCACTCCTCAGAAACGCCGGCTTTGCAGCAGCTCCTAGAGGAATCCTGGACTAACTAGGAATTACTTTTTTTTTTTTTTTTTTTTTTTAGCAGGTTTTCATCCAAATTTTATCCTGAAATTCGGAATTGCTTGTAAGGCTGGAAATTTAGCAGTCCCTTTTCTGTCACGCCGTGTGTCTGTAGCTTCATCCCGAGGCTGGTGCGTGTCCGTGGGCTCCAGTTCCCAGTGTGGCTGCGTCTCTGCTTCCTCCTGGCGCTCCGCGTGCTTTAGCTTTGCCCGCAGGAGGGCTGGAGGGGCGTTGGGCTCACGGCCCCCACGCCTGTCTGCAGGGCTTGATTTTGTTTCTTATGCAAAAAGAGAAATGTATTTAAAAGAAAGAGATGTAAAGGTATATATTTTATATTTATATATATGTGTGTGTGTATGACATTCCATAAGCRCTCTGGGTCTTTTCCATCCATGCCAGAACAACCCCTCTGATTGCAGGCATTAGCTACCAGCAGTTATTTGGCCTCTGGGCTGCAGATTACYCCAGTTCTGCCGATCATCCGCGTGGCAGCGAACCGCGATTCCCGCTACTAAACGGCGCCGCCCGTGAGTATCCACGTGCGCTTTGTGCAGGGGCTCGGGAGGGCGCCCCGGGGCACGGGCGCTGCCTCCGAAGGGCTGTTGMCCTCGGCGCCATCCTTGTGGACACACAGGGAGCGGTGCCTGGGACAGGTCAGCAGGGTGGGAGGTGCACGGGCCCCCCACCCTGAGCCGGGCTCAGCACCCTGACCCGCGTCGCGGCCTTTCCCATAGAGCTGCGTTTCCAGGGGCGGCCGCCCTCAGCCTTGGCTTGGATGTTGTTTGGTCCTGAGCAGGGCAGGAGGTGGCAGGGAAGGCTGGGGCGGGAGCTGGGCTGTGGGGCCCAGTGTTGTGCAAGCAGCTGCCCCCACCCTGCGAGGAGGAGGAGGAGATGGAGGAAGGGGTGAGGAGGCAGCGGGACCCTTGGGTGCTGCCTGAGCCGCAGCAGTGGGTGCTGAAAGGGGGTTTGGGCCTGGAGCAGCCCCGTGAGGGAACGGAGGAAAATAGGGAGCTGGAAAAAGCTGGGWGTGTTGCCCAAGACTGGGACAAAAATAAAATATGTAAAATAAAATATATATGGTTCAAAGAGTCCTGGCCCTTTGCCCTATCAAAGGTGGTGGTAGGAGCACAGATGAGGGGCAGGGGCTGGGGCCGAGCCGCACACCCACCTCAGGCTGCCTGCGGCCCAGCCCGGGCTGCCGCCTCAGCCTCTGTCTTCCTCCCGGATCCTTGTCCTCCTCCTCCCCTGGGCCCGCAGTGCCCGGCATCCCCCAGCACTCCAAGAGAAAAGAGCAGCAGCTGGGGTGGGAGCCGAGGGAGCCAAGAGGGCGCCAGGCCCCCCGCCRCGCCGGGATGGAGCAGAACTGCGGGAACATGGGTAGGGAATGCGGGAAYGAGGGCAGGGAGCACAGCCGGCACTGCCCCTTGCCGGCAGCTGCCTCCAGGCCAGGCTGCCTCTTGCAGCTTGATTTCCAGCCCTGCTAGCGCTCRGGGAGAGGCGTTTTCCACCAGCCCCAGGGATCGGATCGCAGCTTGCTTGGCCACAGGGTTAGCGCTGCCGGGCCTTAAGGGTTGGACGAAAACGTGAGGGGGGAAAAAAAGAAGAGACGGAAATCAGGAGTGGTCAATAATCATGCCTTTTAATAGCTTGTAAATATATATACTTTTTTTAAATTCCAGGCAACTACAATGTACATTTTTTTTTTTTGTATATATCTGACATGTGAAYGTACAGCAGGAGTCCCCGCTCTGCTCCATTTCATCCCATTTCTGAAGCACATAAATTAAAGTAGCAGCTGCCCTAATATACAACAGTTTGACGAAGAAACGAGTTGTCTCCTGCCTTGCAGCTCCCTTCCTTTCACCTTTTTCCTCGAAGCAGGAGCACTACTTTCCACTAGGTAACTAAGTGCCTAGTAACACACAGGAGAACTTGGACTTTTGGGAAAACAGATCCAAGACACTTCCCTGCTCTCAGACTCCCTTCCTACCACAGCCTCACACTGATTTCATTTCATTTCCTATGAGAAAACAAAGGACCACCCCAAAAAGCTCTTCAGCCTCCCAAGGGAAACCCACCTGGGAGTACAGGGCTTCAGCTTAAATATGATCACTTCTCCTCCTAAATCCTCATCGCAGAACCCAAATTCACGTGCGAAGGAGCCAGGGTGGCTGCGGGAGCCACCTGCCCTGGGAGCGGGGCCAGGAGCATCTGCGCTCCGGCACGAGACAGGGAACGGCTGCACGGAGCCACGTCCCCAGCCGCTTCCCTGGCACAGGCCAAGCAGAAAACCTCAGCTTAGGGGAAAAGACRACTTGAAGGGGAAAGAAGGCAAAAAGATAGAGTGGAAATGTGACCTCTAGTGCTTTTTGATGTCCCGCGGTGCGGACTGAAGTCCCTGGTCTGTAAGTGCAGCTAACTCCAGAGCTGGACGTGCTCTTTCAYAGTCAAGGAAACCCAAAGTGAAGGGAAAGGGGCTCGGCATTCCCAAGGGAAAGCTGAGGTGGACAGAAAGGGGCTCRGTGCTCTCAGGGACTGCTCTAGGCCCTCCCCAGCACCTGCCTTTGCCGATAAAACTTAAGCAAAAATAGATTCACCCTCCTTGAGCAGAAAGGAAAACGCCTCAGGGCGGCTCCTAATACAGAGAGGTGCTAAACTGCCATAAATAGCCACGATTAAAAATCATATATTATTATTCTAGCCACTTTTTTAGTTTGGGGCTCAGCTCCCTGCCCCTAGGACCAAAGCCCCAAGGAAGGGGGCACGCGCTGCRCCCCCCAAGCGCTGCCGTGGCCGGGACACGGAGGGCCCCTCAGGGCACAGCAGTGCCAGGGGAGGGCACGGGCAGCCTCACGCCGTCGGCTTCTTCAGGTCCCGGATCTGCTTTATCAGGTAGTTCTTCTCGTCGGTGAACTGCTCGTCATCCGTCCTCTCCTTCTGGAAGTTGCTCAGGAACTCGATGAGCTTGGGCTGGTTCTTCAGCAGGATCTCCACGATGGGCTGCGTTTTGTTCGGGCTGGCCACAAAAACCTGATACATGTGTTGTAAAAAGGGGAGAGAACAAAGTAAGAGCAGTTGTGGGAGTCGGAACACAGCAGGAGGCCTGTGTTCCTGCAGCAGCCCCGAGCCCTGGCGCGGCCGTCGCTTCCCCCCGTTTTCCCTTTTCCAGGGGGCACTGACTGCCTGCACGGCTGCCGGGAGCCGCCCTCGGCCCCGCGCACACGTCGGCCTCGCCACGGGCAGACCCCTGTCAGGAGAAGGGGAAGGGCTGGGCCCTGCTGATACCGGTGCCTTCCTACCACCCCAGCGCCAAAACCCGGCRGCGCCGGCTTCGCTTGGGGGCGGAAAAGCCGCGCGCAGCTCCGCTTCCCAGGGAACACATTCCAGGGAACAAGAGGGCATGGCTGCGTGTTCYGGAATCAGCCACTTTCCCTGGCAAAGCTGGCAACCAAAGGCCCTCCCGGCTGCTCGGTGGCACCGGAGACCCGCAAGTCCAGAGGGCTGCAGGGCTGGAAACCCCCCAGTGGCACCAGTGATGGATCGGAAACGCAAAGGCCGCTGCAAGCCCCACACTCCAGAGCACCGCGGAGGCCGCGCGCCGGCCCGACTGATGCACCGCGTTTTAAGAGGGTCCTGCTAATTCCAGCTCTGCAGTGCTGTAAAGAAACAGGGAAAGCCACGGAGAGAGAGAGAGGCAAATGTCCATGAGCTGGGACATCTGCACTAAAACAAAGTTTAACATCACAGGGAAAAAAACAAAGGGAAAAAAAAACCCCACAGTTTCTGCTCTGGTTTGTTATGCAGGACTTTGTGTTCTGGCGCACTTAATTCAGGCACGTGAGAGCCCCAAACTAAGGAGAGGGCTTGTATTAAAATTCCAGCTCTAAAAATAGCTATTTCTGCAGCCTCTGACTTTGTATCTTCAAAGGACTGGAATAAAAATCGGTTCCACATGAGCTGGRTGAAATTGGACAACTCAAAACCTGCCCCACGAGGCGGCGGGATGCCCCGAGCCCTCGGGSTGCCGCTCTGCTGCAGCCGGAGGAAGCGCTGGAGGAGGGCAGCAGGTCAGACCCCTCCAGGACAAGGGAAGGAGACTCCACGTGTGGGACCTCCCTGGGTCTCCAGCTTCCCACCTGGAGCAGCCTGGGCGGGTTAGGGGTCCTGGAGCTTGAAGCGCCGCTGCCATTCGGACCGTCCCACCTTCCCGCAAGGTATTTTGGAGCCACGGGGCTGGTTCTGCCCTCTCCAGCGCCCAGCTCCGCGTGTCCAGCGATGAGGAGCTGCCTCAGGGACCTAAGAGTCACCAGCCTTTTGGAGAAGCCCCATTTCGGACACGTCCTGAACAACCGCTCTCCTATTTCAAGCCTGTTTAACCCGTGAAACCTCCAAGTCAGGCAATTTACAGCCAAAGCCCCTGGCMTCTCAGAGCAGCAAAGAGCAGCATCTCAGCAGGACAACTTTGGTTTCCAGCCGCTGCAATACCAGGGTTATCCAGTTGGATACGAGGCCAGGGTTAAAAAATGCAGTTAAAACTGATGAGAGGCTCCAAGGCGGGGGCGAACTGCCCTCCCAGGTGTTCCCGCAGGGAAGTGGCGCAGGGAACGGGAGCTGCTGGGCGGCCATGGGGCCCGTCCTGGAAGGTGGCAATGGGGCCAGGAGCTGCAGCGGGGACGGGAGCCGCAGGGCGGCCAAGGAGGAGCCGGGGCGGGAGGCGCTCGCTTGTTCCGCTGGTGATGGAGGATCCCCCGGGCTGCTGCTTTGGGGGTTTCATTTTGACTCTCTGAGGCATTTGGGAGAGGAAAAGCAGCAGAACCTCCCCGAGGCCTCCCCAGCACAGACCCAAAAGGCCTTTTTCCCACCTGGAAATGGGAAGAGCCACAAAACCCCACAAGGCACCTGGACTTGGAGGAGGGTGATGCCGCTTTCTGCAASAGTGGGACCTTTTGGCGAGAGCTGCTAAATTTTTTAACCATCTTCATGAAGGATTCAATGCCTCCTGCTGCGAGCCATTAACGGCCCTATCTCCATGAGCTGAAATTAACGTGTTAATTCCAGGAACCAGGGAAAGGGAAGGCAGCTTTGCCTCACARCAATTCCACTCACCCTCTGACTCACAGAACATTTTTGATACGGGGGAAAAAAAGKAATTTTTTCTCCCCATCAGCATTAAACATAATGAGATAAGGGCTATGGCTGCATGTGCTGCTTCCAGCTGCATTAACGAAAATTGCAACAGGGTRGAAGGATTAAACTCATGCCCAATTTACCTTTAATGGGGGTCAGAGCAAACTGTGATTGCTGCTGCCCWGTGCTACCACCGCTCCCTTTCCCACTCTCCTTATCCACACAAAGGGCTGGGGTGCTCTGAAATCCCCYTGGCTTGAAGGAAAGACCCTCCTGTAGGGCAAGAGCAGCCCCGAGGGCTCATCCCTGCTCACCTTGAACACGTGGAACGCCTCGAACTGAATGTTGGGGCTTTTGTCTCGCAGCAGGTTCATCATCAGCTTCAGATTCTCTGGCTTGCTGATGTATTTGGTCATGATGGCAAAGTTGTGCCGGTCCAGGATCAATTCACCCAGCAGCTACAGAGGCAAGGGCAAAAAAACCCCATGGTTTAACAGCCCTCCACTTTTTTTTTCAGGATATTAAAAAAAAGCATCAGCATATTTTTATGTTAGCCCAAAGAGATTTCAGTATCACTACTTTAAAAAAAATAGCTATATAACTACATATGTATATAGTTATGCATATACACCCTGCCCCACACCTGGATTTGTTCCCACGTTATGAGTTAGAGCCTAGTAACACTCGTCTTCCAAACACCACGGGGACAGGTACCCCAAGGAAGGACCACGTGTGAGCCAGCGAGGCCGGAGCAAGGGCTGAGCTGTCCCACAGAGGCTCCTTCATTTCATTCAGATGTTACATGAATGGACATGGTCACATTAGACTCAGCAATAGTCCCCAAAGAGAGACTATTGTGTCGCTCCCAAGTTCCTTCTATCCTTCACTATGAAGTGAAGTACAAAATTAGGGTCAGGAAAAAACAGGGATGGGGCTTGTTCCACAGAAATGGCCTGGTGCTTTGCTGAGGATTCATGACAGGACAAGGGGTAATGGGTACAAGTTGAAACCCAGGCAGCTCCATCCCCATGTGAGGAGGAACTTCTTCCCTGTGAGGGTGCCAGAGCCCTGGCACAGGCTGCCCAGGGAGGCTGTGGAGTCTCCTTCTCTGGAGATCTTCCAAACCCGCCTGGATGCCGCCCTGTGCCCCGTGCTCTGGGTGTCCCTGCTGGAGCAGGGGGTTGGACTAGAGGATCTCTAGAGGTCCCTTCCAACCYCAACCATYCTGTGATTCTGTGAAATAAAACTTGCAGCTAGTTCACTGGAACAAGAGCCCCAACAAACCCTCATTCCCTTTTCTTGCTAGGCCTGTGGCTGCTCTGTCACCGGGTATTTTGATACTCTGCGTAACACAGAATTCCACTTTATGGAGGAAAGCTCCGAGGAATTTCACTTTACCTTCAAAGATTGTCTCTTGGTCACGTAATTCTCAGAATGCAGGAGCTTTTCRTAATCCTCAAAGATCTGGAGCAGCAAAGGGAACACAGAACACAGGGCAACCTCTGCAGATCCGTCCCTCCTTCACCCCGTCCCAGCCCTGTGGGACCAGCCCGACCTCCTCCCCTCTCCCCATCCCTCCTTCCTCACGGAGGTGGCTCCATTCGAGGAGCTTTAAACCACTGGGGACACCAGGGCCTTCCASCTGGGCAGCTTCTCCTGCAAGGAGATGACTCTGCTGCCAGCACATTCAGCACTCCATGTCCACTCATTGATGCTCAGACCATCTACCAAGTGTGCAAAAAACCCCACTGACATCCAAGAGTCGCTCAAAACGATGCTAATTTCCACAATTTACACTTATTTGTAAGTAAGTGTTACATAGCTGCAGAGCAGGGACTGTTCCACTGCAGAGCTCCAGTGCTCACAGAGAAGATTAGCAGAGAGGGTAATTGTGCTCCAGTTTAATTGCGTTTATGACTCAGCAATAAAAAGCTTGATTTTGATTTTAGCTTCTTGCTAGCTCTAATGAATTCTAATGGCAAAGATGGTCTTGGCTTTTTATTTCATTTTTTTTTTCTTCGGCAATGAAGCAGAGAATACCTCAGGTAAAATGAAAACATGACCTGAAGTCTAATTCCATTAGCCCTATCAGTGCAATCTTAGTTGATTCCAATGGAATTTTTCTAACCCCTATTTTCCTTAAAAAAATAGATCAGGAAAAAAAGATCAAAAAGTGAAAATTGCAACAAACCAACTGACTATTGACTTAGGAAGGCAAGAGGGATGTTCCCCTCTCRGTCTCCTGATCAGGCACATGAAATCTGCAGCAAGGCCAGTGCCTCTTCTTGCAACCCCTCTCCTCTGCCCCAATTTTACAGTATGAAAACGAAGCGGAAAATTCTTTAAAGGAAGTAAAGACTTTTTTCCTCCCGCCCCCCCATCTACGGAGATGCTGATTTTACAGCTAGGGAAATATGTTGCTTACAGAGATGAACAAGATTGCTTAAAAACAGTGAGTCCTCCTGGAAATTTGACCTATGTTTGCACAGCAGAGGCACCTTGATTGTCAAGGGCCACCCGAGGATTCCCCTTCAGCAGCAGCAGTGTCTTGCACGTAGGACTGCAGTCCTGGGTGACAATTTCCTGTGGAATGTGAAATCCTGCGCTGCTAAAAGCACGCGCTTTCTCAACAGGTATTTTACAAGATCATTTATCATTTATACTTACGGTATCATAATTTTGTTCCAGGAAATCTGCTACCAATAACTTGTGTCTTGTTAGCAAGTCCTGAAAAAGAACAGAGAAATACTTCATTTTCACACAGTTCTCCCCTTCATTCTCAAGGGTAGTTTAGTATTTGTTACCAGGTTATCTTTTACAAGGTATTTCCAAGATTGGACTAGAAAAAAAGGAATTAAGAAACCCACCCAGCATCACGTTCAGCAGCTATGTGCTACTTAGGACCTTGAGAAGAGTTAAATAGATGCTAGGGAAATTAATATAAGTTATCCTAAGGTTCCTTATTCATAATCCTCTCTCCTCGTACCTTTTCTTACGGGTAAAGCCRCCTGTAACGGAGGGCTCACGTGTGGTCCGAGGACCAGAAGAGCTCTCCGCTCTAGCCCACAACGGGAAGACCGCGGCAGCTTTAACAAAGCGCAGTTTCTGATCTCCAGCTCATGCAGCAAGGCAGGCTCCAACCCAGCCACTAGGGATAAACCTGTATCTGCTGAAAGCCTAGAAGTGGGGGACCCACCTGAGCAGCCGTTCGGGCTCCCTGCGGGGTCATCCCACGTGCAGAAAAGCGCCCCCGACATATGGGATGAATCCCCCCGGCTGCGGCATTCCTGCCCCGAGTGCATCCCATCCAACAGGAGAGCAGCACCAGATCCAAAGCAGGATTCCAAGGCAGGAATTGTCCCTCCGTGGGCCGTGTTGGTGCTCGGCCGTGGGGACGTGAACGCTCCATGCTGGAAGCAGCCAAGGCTCCTCACTAGAGGAGCTGCTGTAAACTGAAGCAGCCAGTTTGAGGCCCTTGAATTTCCATCTTATTGATGAAGTGATGACTGACGGAGGTCACTTGAGGAGGTTTGTTTGCAGGGAATCAGTCTCTGTTACTATTTCAGCATCTCTCCTTTGCTTTCTTGGCCACCATCAGAAACGGAGGCCAATGAATTGTTGAGCAGATGCTCAAACACGTCCTCCACAGCATCCCAGYTAAAACAAACCCCTCTCCTCCTAGCCCTCCTATTTAATTATAAGAGGAAAGCAGAGTGCTATAAAATCCAGTGCATCATGATTTGTAATATTTTTGGTTTTTTCTTTTTATCCTGCAGGGCTGTGATGCTCTGGGTTCCAAGGGCTGAGGGCACCCAACCTCCATGGGCTTTTCTGCAGAGCGCTCAGGAGGCAACAACGACCTTGCTCAGCAGGGAGCACAAATGGAAAACAATCCAACACGGGGCTTTCCGTGCAGGAAAGAGAACAGCAGCGTCTGCTCCCAGCTGCTCCTGTTGCTCCCACTGATCCCCAGCGCAGCCGGGCTCCCAACCCAAGCCCTTTTCCCTCTGCATTTCCAGCTTTCCCCTCAGCTCCGCACCTGGCTGAATTTAATTAAAGAGAGCATCCAAAACTCGAGTTCTTCTCTGCTAGGAACAGCCTCAGACTCCAACGCTGGTTTGATTAAGCCCTCCTCTGGGCACAGCCCTGTGCGGCGCCCGCTCCGAACCAGACCCCGACACTACAGACTGGGACCTGGAAACGCGGATGCAGGAAGCCGGGCAGCCAGGGAGCGTTCATGGCTCCCGTTTTTATGGGATTAGAAATCAAGCTAGCTCCGTATTCCATGATTCGATTGCTTCCACGTCACTTCTTGCTGGTGCAGTTGGCTGGAGCAAAAGCCCGGGAGCTGGGATTAACCCTGTCGTTGGACTAGAGGATCCCTACAGGTCCCCTCAACCACTCTGTGATTCTGTGATTCAGAATATTTTATTTCAGAATTCCCGAGCAAACAGTGGGTGGTAATGAGCAGTTTTTAAAAATACAGGGCACAGATTTGCCCCAGGTGTTTTAAGGGGCTTCCTGAACTGTGCAAGAGGATGAAGGGCCCTCATGACTCCCCTCTTGCCAACAGGCACGCGGATGTGGGGTCCTATATTTAAACCCTACTAAAAATACTCCTGGAGCGCAGGGGATAGAGGGGAGCTCCACGGCTCAAGGTCCACAAACGACACCAGTTTTCTCAGGAGGCTGCACRAGTCCCCGGCGCTCCCTGGGGACACAGAATTTAAAGGCAGCCTCACGTAGCCCCACGCGTGTCCCTTCACCTGGGCTCAATCTCCCGCTTGGCTCTCTAACACTGCGGCCATTCCGCCCSTCTATCTCATCACACTTCTAATTAGCTGGGAGGGGAAAGAAGGAACAACCTGTTTCTATGACAGCAAAGAGCCAACTGATAGAAGGGGGGAAAAGTTACCGCTATATTTAGAAGGCTCTCTCCCTGGGAGGAATTTTCCACAGTTTTCTCCGATGATTTCTGCAGAAATAATCTACTTGTTCCTCTAGATGAAGCCTACGGGCAGCAAGTTCCGCTCAAGACTACGTTAGCACCTGATGCTGGTTAGCACCTGATGGGATGCTGGTCACAGACAAATGCCAAGACGTTTCCCAAGTTCCACCCAAAGGCATTTTTAAAGGTGAAACATGGGATCTATATAGTGCGTGGGCCAGGGAGAACCCCCGGTTCAACCCTGCAGCCACAGGTGAACCCTACGTGCTGCTCTGGATCCCCAGGTGAACCCTGCGTGCTGCTCTGGATCCCCTGCTGCTGCTTTGACGTGGTCTCCAGAGCACAGAATGACAGAACCCTTCAGGTTGGAAGGGACCTCCAGAGCTCATCTAGTCCAACCCCATGCACATGCAGGGGATCCTGCATCCCCAAGAGCCACAGAGCSAAGGGGAAGGAAAAGCAGGAGCTGCTGGCTGGCCCTTTCCAGCCCCCCTTGAACTTGCTTGCAAGCAAAGAGGGAGCAGCATTTTAGTTGGCCCTGGAAGGACCTGCCTTGTGTCAAGGCCTTCAGCTTAGACAGGTCAGCCAAAATTTAGAGGATTTCAAAATTAATCCTATTCACTGGTTGTGGTCAAAACAGGGAGTGGTTTTATTTGGGGGAGAAGGTGGAGAGAGAAGAGAGATGATGCATTGTAGAATGCACAGGACACCTGATTAAACACAGTTTTAAATAGCTGCAGTGAAAACCCCGGGAATAACGAGGTGTAGGACACTAGTGAAGCCTAGGTCTGGATTACAGATACTCTGCAGAGATGATCCCTGTTGTGAATGCTGGTACAACCTGGCCAAGGATCAATTATATGCGGAGCAATAAGCGAGCTGTCCGGTTTGAAGGCGAGTGATCACGGCCTTTTTAACCAAACACCAGGGCAGGGGCATCGAGTCATTTACCTTGAACGTGGCGAAGGCATCGGACGCGATGTCGAACGTCGACATCTCCACGTATTTGAAGAAGTCCCTGAACTGCTCCGAGAAGAGGACGCTCTTGGCCAGCGGCTCGTGGCGCACGCACTCCCTGAGCATGATGCCGCAGCGCAAGGCGACCAGCGGGTTCTCGTACCTGCAGAACGAGGAGGAACGAGCCCACCAACACAGAGGGACAAATGTGAACGAGCAAATTCTCCGGCGACAGGAAAGCTACAAGGAAAAGGAGAGCAGAAGGGAAGGGGCAACAGGCGCACAGGGCGGCCCCAACCCCAGCACCACGTCCAGCCTGCAGCCCATCACCATGAGCCGGGTGAGCCTGGCAGCACCTTCTGATCCAGGTGCACCCCGGTTCAGCTGAATCCCTTCCCACTTTGGATTCAGGAGAAAGATAAGCCCACACAATGTAATGTTCTCCCATTGCAAAGCTAATTCTGAGCTCCTTGCTCATCAGCTTGTAACCATCCCTCAGCTCCCACTCCTCTTGCAGCGGGAGTCACACCAGGACGTCCACGTTGCACAAGGAAGGCAAGCGGAGCAGATCCAGGCCCTCTACCCATTAACCAGGTGGAGCTTTCTGTAGTTCTGAAGATGTTTCCTATTGTTTAGATCTGCTCAATCCCTCCTCTGCAGAGACTGAGAGCTTGTTTAGGGGACAGGTATCAACTAATCCCTGAGTTAGTTCCTCAGGCTGCAGTCCTGCTAGGGCASGAGAGTGGACAGGAGCCAGCAGTCCCCGAGGTCTCGGAAAGGAGAGCGAAGGGGTTCAGACAACCTTCATTCCAATGAAGTCTTGATTCTGTTAAGGCCAAAGCTACTCCAAAACAGCTGCTAAAAGCAATTTTTTAAAAGCGCCCCCCCAAACAAGAGAGAAATCTGGCAATCAGGARGGACTTAAAATGAACATATTTGATGAAGTTCCATGTAAGAAAGAACTTCAGGCTGTGAGGGTGCCAGAGCCCTGGAACAGGCTGCCCAGGGAGGCTGTGGAGTCTCCTTCTCTGGAGATCTCCCAAACYCGCCTGGATGCCGCCYTGTGCCCCGTGCTCTGGGTGTCCCTGCTGGAGCAGGGGSTTGGACTRGRTGATYYCTAGAGGTCCCTTCCAACCTCAACCACCCTGTCGTTCTGTGATATTTTAGCCATATTGAGTCATGTGAAAGCAACCAAGTCCAAAGGAGACAGAAAGCACCTCTGTCTCAGTGAGCTGGTTACACTATATCCAAACCGTGTATTGCCACCCGGAGCTTATCAGCCTCCCTTTTCCACGAGACAATTCCTTTCTATCACTAGGCCAAAGAGAGAGACAGAACGCCATCTGTGCTGCGAGTGCGTGGGTGCTCGGTGCCCCACCAACGTGTCCTTGGGAAGGAAGGACACGTTGGATTCTGTGAAGGCAGCTCTGGGAGCCCACGAGAGCTGCACGCGGCRGCCTGGGGCACAACCCGCTGCCGGCTCCCGAAGGGCAGACGGAGCTTCCCACCTTACGCACGTGTCCAACGTCCGGCCTCTGCCGTCTGGGGCAACGTTTCCAACCTGAACTGCAACCGCTTCAGAGAAAATCTGGACTAGATAGATTTTTAGATCTAGGAGAGATAGGTAAATGGAACAAATAGAAAATGTCTATTTGTTGGTGTTTTCTGTTAAGAYGTAACCGCTCCTTTAAGTGCAATAGCAATTGTCAAGCAGAGAGAGGCAGAGCTGCTCCTAGGAATACAGCCAGGAAAATATCCACTGCTCGGCCAAGGAGTATTTTGGTTGGAATACAAGCGAACTGCATTGTTCCCAGCACAATAACTTCAAAAATCACAAGTATCAACAGACTCGCTCTTGGCCAAGGGCTCCGGTACCTGGAGCTGGGCTCTGGGCTGGCTCCTGCAATGTGCCCCAAGGGGGATAGAGGCTGCTCTGCACCAAGGGAGCCACCGGGCAAGAGGGACRGGCTTCAAAGCCACCCCAAGGAGCCCTTGCTGCTCCACACCGAGGCACTCCTGCAGCAGGGACCAAATAAGTGGTTTTCCTCTCCCTTCCAATGGGCTTCCAGCCTAAGGGAATCCCCAGGCATCGCCTGCTGGGCAGCCAAGAAGGCAGAAATGGATTTGAAATATTTCCAAACATTTATTGGGCAGGAATTGGAAGGAGGCAAGGCAGCCCCATGGGGAAGGCACCAACCTGGCGGGCAGCAGCTCCTGACAAACAGCGGGGTTTTTATCTGATTTTGCACCCACCTCACATCGGGTCTTACACATTCACATACGCTCCTACACGTTTATAACCCGCACTCAAACACTGCTCAAAGTGCCACAGACGTCCGGAACCTGCTTTAATCACTGTACTAGAAAGGGAAAAAACACTTCAAGTTACAGAGGGCCCGTATTATTTCTGGACTCATGTCTCGGAATGCAATAGGTTGATACCAGAGGGAAATAAAACATGGGCCAAATCGATCAGGGACTGTATATGTCAGCACTGTATTTATGTGAAATCCTACGCATACGCAAAGGCTGCACATGCACAGAAAACACACAACTCCGAAAGCGAGGCCCCACACAGCAGGAAAGTCAATTAGTCTGAAGGGAAAAAAAATAATTAAGCGCTAACCCACGTGCTACATGTTTTTCTGCAGCTGAAAGTCTGGGAGGGAGTAGCCAAGAAATAACATGAAGCCTAAAAGGTGAAAACACTGATGGCAGCCTGGCAGTGCCTGGGAGCAGCAGGCAGGAAACCCCGGGAGGGGGATGCGATTCCGGACCCTTCCCGCTCCGCAGAGCTCACATTATGCAGGGAAAGAGCAGCGTTTGTTGCTCCTGCTGGGAAGCGCGTGTCCAGAGGCAGAGGAAGCTCCGCATCCCAGCCCGGACGAGCAACAAGAGCCCTGCGCAAGGGCCCGGCTCGCTCCTCTCCGGCAGGGCCAGAGGGGCTTTTCTTCCCCTTATTCTTCCCCTCTCCGAACACTGTCCTGCCAAAATGCCCTCAAAAGGCGACTCCGCTCCTTCCTGCACGATATCCAGCCCCGTTTGCCTTCCCTTCCCTTGCAACGCGGCCTGCGCGCTAGGCCCCAGCCTGGCTCATGGCCGGCATCTCCAGTGGCACGCGGAGACGCTCCGAGACGCTCCGGACTCGGATCGGGAGGACAGGGCTGCGCTGGAGCCGGTTACACCGGCGCTGGAGCCAGTTACACCTGCGTTGGACCCGATTAGGCCGGCGCTGGAGCCGGTTAGGCCGGCACTGGACCCAGTTAGGCCGGCAACCCGGTTACACCGCTCAGCTACTCGGGCATCGCCAGTGCCAACCAAGATCCATCCAGGCTGTCGCTSAAGGATTCAGAGCCCTTTCCAACAAAAGACTTGGGAGGGGAGCCTTAGGGTTCAGCGCATCCATAGGGAGCAGGGAGGGAGCCCAGAAGCCAAGGACAAGAGGCAGAGAGCCGGGCTCGTGCAGGTGCATGAAGGTGTGAGGTGGGAATCATCAGCTGTCTCCATTAAACCAGCTGCCCCTTGGATATTCCCAGGGCTTTGGGGTCAGATCACACACCAGGTGGTGCCGTGTCCATCGGCAGCACACATGCAGGAGATAAAATCTTTACTATCATCTCAATATTGTTTTTACAGATGCCAAAGAATATCTGGGACATGATCCAAAATATTTGATTTAAGCTTTAAATAAAGCTGAGGCATATGGGAGAGATGCACACATGATGTCTCAAACAAAACTGAGTGAAAAAGTGTGCATGGGGGGCAAGGGAATCCAAAAAACAAAGCCAGGAAAGGCAAGAAAATGATTGTTTCTGTATAGGGAATTGAAAACARTTGTTCAAGTTCAGCTGTGACCGACAGAATTATCCTCACTGTCCYGAGACAAGGATTTTGAAGCATATTGAAGTGTTGAACTTTAATGAACAAATTAAAAAAAATAAATTAACCAGCTTACTGGCTTGCTTTCTGAGGACGCTGCTGTTCAGCAAGACCAAGAGAGCCACCTGCAAAACTGAAGATGAACCACAACTCATCACGATGCCTTTAAGAGCAGGACCTGGTGCAGAACAAGGACCTGCCCAGGTTCCTCGGCCCGTAGGGAAAGCAGATCCAGTCCTGTCACAGCCAAGCCTTGCCTCTGTGTCCAACGACAGGCTCATAACTCTTTAAAACACTGATATAAATCAGCTCTCTCAATTACTTTTTCCTACTCAGCTGTGCTGGAATGCTGCCCGTATTGGAGCAAATAACTATTTYAGGAGGAAAAGCAACTCTACAAGGAGGCCAGGGCGGGTGTCTCTCGTAGGTCTCCATTTAGGAGATGTGGAAGCTGCTGGAGAAAACTCTCACCCTGGGCTTTGTGTTCCTATCCCAGGAGTACCCTAGATGGTGCTGAAGTGTCTTCCCAACTCAGGTTGTGCAGCAGGTGGTAAAAGGGCAGCTCTTAAGCATTAAGACAAAGAAAGACATCAAAGAAAAAAATAATCATTCACTTAAGTACCATTACCTAAAGATGTCTATATGATTTTGAATGGCTGTTGCTACTCCAACCATACATGGAGCACAAGAGTCTGTGTTATTTCAGACTGTACAGCTGGTAAACACAGTTATTTTTACTTCCTTTCTTTWATCCTAAGCAATTACATCTGTATTCCCCTTTCCCGAATAAAAATGTATATAAAACCCTATGGGTTTTTTTTTCTTATTTTTCTGTCTTTATAGCCAGAAAAAGAAGACCATAGAAAACTGAAAGGCTGATCAGAAAACAGCAGATTTCAAGAGCTGGAAATGCAAACATTCTTGCTACAGGGAAGAYACTTTGTGGCCAAGCAGAGAGGACAGAAACCTCAAGGATTTAATAATGAGGATTTAAGAATGGGAATGAGGACAACAATAATAGTTGTGTGTTCCTGAATGCTCTTTCAGCTGATGGGCTCCCCTCGCTCCAGCACATCCTCCTCTTTGGCCAACTCACCTTGGGAACCACTGGCTTGCTGCTAAACCCTCCCTCAGAGGTTAAAGTGAGACAAAAGAAAGAAAGAAAAATGATGACTTAATTCTGAAAGAAACAGAGTTTGTTACTGGCGTAATTTAATGTTTAAACTCACATGTGGCTGCAAGGATTTAGGAAGCCCGCCCCACCGACACAGCTTTTCTTTCTGTGCATTCTCCCTTCACCCAAGCCTTTCACTCCAGTTATTTACAGGGCCCCTGTAACTCACAGCTGCAATGCAAAGAGGCCCAAACGAAACTCAGCAGCAGCCCCCAGTGCTACCCAAGAGTTCAGGGCAAGCACTGAGGTCCCTGTYACACGGTGAGCAGACAAAAACAGTCACAGAATCACAGAATCCTTCAGGTTGGAARGGACCTCTAGAGAACATCTAGTCCAACCCCCTGCTCCAGCAGGGWCACCCAGAGCACGGGGCACAGGGCGGCAKCCAGGCGGGTTTGGAAGATCTCCRGAGAAGGAGACTCCACAACCTCCCTGGGCAGCCTRTGCCAGGGCTCTGKCACTGTCAAGAAATTTTTCCTTAAGTTCTTGTGGAACTTCCGATGCTTCAGTTTGTGGTCGTTTCCTTTAGTTCTGTCAGTGGCCCCCTCCTCCTCACTGCCTCCCTTGAGGTATTTATAGACACTGACCAGGTCCCCCCTCAGCCTCCTCTTCTCCAGGCTGAACAGGCCCAGCTCCCTCAGCCTTTGCTCATAGGGCAGATGTTCCACAGCACGTAATTATGTTCATACAGCACATAATTATTCCAACATGAGGTACGGTGAAGAAATAATGGCCAAATGAAATAATTCAGTCATTTAGGCATATGCATTTAAGTAAAAAGCAAGTCAGTAGAAGAAAAACAAAAACCTAGAACAAAGGCTGAAATCCTGTCTATTTTTTGTTAAACTCTAAGGGCAAATGTAGACCAYGTGCAATGCCAACATGTTCCAGGCAATGTTCTTTAATGGGCATGAAAGCCACCCAAAGGCACTCACCCTTTCAGGAGCATGAACAGGATGTGTGGATGGGCACTAATATACTCCACAGTAGGGCTGCGGGTGCCAATTTGTCTTCTCAAGATGTTGTTAAATATCTGGGAAACRTCCTTTTTGCCCTGTTAAAGAAGCAAAACATATCTTCAACTGTAAAAGCATGAACAAATGATCATTTAGAATGATCTCTATTTAAAGAGAAAATGAAATTTAAATTGCACCGAGTCAGTCTCTCTTTTCAGGRCCTTCCACAGTCCCAAACGTGTGTTTGCAAGGTGCACGTGCTTCTATAGCTTTTAAAATTCAGCAGTCAAGCCAGCCCCAAGTACAGAGAAGCACAGCGTAGCTTTATAAAACCAAAGCTTTCCATCATTCTCATGTCATCAAAGCAAATCTGATCATATTTTCAAAAAAGAAAAAAAAAGTGGCTTAAACTTGAAAGTGACCCTAGCCTGATACATAGACTCATTCCATGATCACGCACATTCTTTTTACCAAAGAATAAAATCACCCTAACTGATGGAAGGGCCATGCCATGTACATAGTGCTTCTCCTTGAGTCACAGCTAAGGTGGGAAGGCTCCTTAATTCAGTTTCTCCTGCAGCCAGAGGAAGCAACGTGCCCCTGCACACCATGTTCTGCAGCAGCAAACTCCCAAACTTCCCCATGAGGACAACTTTTTGGAAGGACCTTCCAAATTGTGCTCTGTCCAGCTGCAGGSTTTGCTGATACCTCGTGCATTTTAAGTCCTCTTCCTCCCCCGGCCATAGGAGAGACATTGAGGCTGAGAAAGGGCTGGAGGGAAGAGACAACCGAGGCACTGGGACAACAGCGGGACCCTGTGCCCTGGCCACCTAAAGCAGGAGGTTGGTCATAATCCATCCGCGCTCCTTGAGAGGACAAATCCATCCGCTGTCTAGAGAGGACAAACATTCCTTGGCTAAGAAACTGCCGGATGTTTCCAGCCAAGGAGCACATAGTTTCACACAGAGGGAAATTCCCTAGTTTCACCTCTACAAATCAATTTGAGAAGCACGAAGTATTCTGCTTTGTTAGTCGGTCCAACCCAGCTGGCCTGGAGATTCAGGGACTGAGGGAATTAAAAAGGAGGATCAGGTCAGACCTGGCCGGTCCATCTGCCTTGGTCTGCAACACTTGTGACCTCTGGATATTCTCTTAATTCAGCCATTTCTTTCTACAAACGGCCCATCTTTACAACACCCCGAACGTATGTCTGGAATCCTGTGATCCCCAGCGGCCGCAGCAGTTATTCCAAAATGAAAAACCAAAAAAAAAGCCCCAAAATAAAGAAGAGCTGTTGAAAAGCAGAGGCAAAAATGGCCAAGATTTAAGCGATTTTCCCTGGTAAGCCAAAATTTTTATTATCCTTTAACATTAGGTGCACCAAGGCATTGTATCCAATAGTTCAGTATTTTCAAAACCAAAGCTGTTGGTCTCTCTGGGTTCTTCTCTAGGGAGCAGAGGCAGGTAGGGATCCAAGACTGGCTTCCCTCAACGCCAGATACCTATAAAACCCATTGGAATATTTTTGCAGTGCTTCCCACTTGGATTCTGCACTTCAAGTTCACCTTATAATGAAATCCATATGATAACTGGAGCACGAGATACAAGGGCTGTGTGCAGAGAAGGAAGAAAATAGCCAGACAGGAGCTCAAAGGACGTCACCATTTCTGTATAAAAGAACAACCTGCAAGACATCTACACCATAACATAGCTCATATTTCATGCAAGGCAAGGGGGTATTTTTAACATTTACCTCCTCTTCCTGCYTGCACAGCTTAGGAGCACCAACGTTTGCATGCTGGAACACATTTTTTAAACGTAACTATTTCTGTAGAGCTGCTTTCCTCAATGACCTCTTCCAAGTCCACCCAAACATTTCACATTTTGAATTTCCCCCCACTTGGGTCTCGTCGGGGTCGAGGGCTTCTGCCCAAACCCAACCTCAGTTTTGTTTCCTATAGATGCTCCATAGGGACATGGAAGGACCCAAGAGCCCTCCCCACACACACTGCCACCCCCAGCCAAGTGTGTTGGCAGATGAAGCAGGGCTTGAGCTCAAGTGTCTGTTTTATCTCCTCAATGGGGTATTAATTAATTAATGTCTCTTTCCAAGCCACCAAGTCCCATGAAGTCTTTGACAGAATTTCTCCTGGGCAAAATTGGGGTCAAAGTAGCCACCAGGTGCAGTAACTTTCTGGAGGGTGAAGGGTAGGAGAAAAGGAGCCAAGCCAGGACAAAAAGCAGGTAGTTACATGAATATAATTTCCTTCAGCAAGCAGCTTTTCACATGTTTTCAAATTCTGCTTTCTACCATTATATACTGATCACAAGAAACAACCTTGCATGTTGAAGGGCGATGATGAACAAGGACACCTAAGTGGCATTTCTGAGCTACAAATTAATATAATAAACACAAGAATAAAACTTGATATAACAAAAAAAAAAAAAAAAAGGAAATATGAAGACAGAGCAACATCTCCTCTTACTAGGCCGTTTTCCAACAACGTTTCATTTTACTGATTCCAAAAAGCATCTGTAAAAGTTAGAAGTTTTGCTAAACGACTGAAAGGCTTTATCTCAGAAAAAAAAAATCTATTTTGTAATAGAAGTTATTAGAATCAAAAGTGTTACTAGGTATTATGTTTCCATGAGCTACGTTATTAGAATTATGTTTACATTACGTTGTGAATTACTGTTATTCACATAACAGTTCTAATAACAGGCTTGGTATTTCACTCAGAGTTTGCACTTGAAGACTGTGGGTTCGAAAGATGGGTAAAGAACTTTATGTTTGAAAAAGAAAGTGATATAAACTGTCAGCAACCTAAAAAAGATAAAAATAAGTAAGAAGTAGAAATTTCTCTGTTAGGGAACACTTGCGAACAATCACTTCTCTTCTTCCCTCCCCACTTTATCTAAAATATCTAAATTACTGGATTCTTATCTTGCATTAAGACATCTAAGAGTTGCAGGGGGAGCAGGGAGACAGCAAATTCAAGGCTCTGAAGAGATTCCCTCATTTAAAAAAAAATTGTATTGGATGAAATTCCATCATTAAAAACAAAAACAACAACAAAACCACTCTTAAAAACAAGACCTGAAGAAGGGAAAAGTTGTCACCTGGGCAAACTCCAGTGACAACTTGCAGAAATTAGTTTTTTAAATGCAGCAGGGCCTTGAACTGGCACTGCCAGGACTGCCAGTGCTTGACTGGTTAGTGTGAGTGCAGCCCAAGCCCAAACCAACCGCCCATCACTCCTTCCTTGGGTCCATTTTCCAAGTGGAAAGAGCAGCCAGGCAACAGCCACTGGCCTTCCCAAGGGGAGAAGCCTTCRCAAGGAAGCAGCTCCCCTGGAAAGGCTCCGTGGCCTTGTCCCACCGCTCCGGGAATCGGCTTTTCCGAGCGGAGCGGAGCGACCAYGCTGCCCCGCACACCAGGCGCTGCCCTCCGGCAGCTCGGGATTCCTGGGGGCTCAGAGGTGTCCGGGGCTCCGGCCGCTTTGCCAGAGCCGGGAATTTTGCAGTTCCCTGGATCTCTACGAGCAGGCCCTGGAGGCAGCAGCGCGGCTGGCCTCAGGCTGYAGGGACAACTGAGCATCCCATAAAATTACCACATTTCTCCCCAGTTCTACCAGTTAAAGGTCAGGTGAAAGGGTTTGTATTTGTCTTAAATATCAGGCTTTTTTCTACTGTAACTTCTCCATATTCATTTGCAAGTCCAATTCTTTTAATCCTGCTAAATTCTTGGCTTGAACAACGAAATTGTCAGTGATTTCCATAGCCAAATTAAATACACTTTTATTCATATTATTCATATTATTTTGGCATCAAGATTGGCAAAAATGTTATACTCCTTTCATCTTTTATGCTAAGAATTAAATGGGGGTAATCCAACTTTCCCTGACATTTCCCATCAGTTCCACTGAACAGAAACCAGAGTTTTTGAGCACCCTTTTCAATTCCTTTCCCCTCAGCTAAATCATTCCAATCTTTCAGTATTTTCCCCACCCATAGGAGATTTTTCCCAGCTTCTGATCGTTTTCATTCCATGTCTCTGAGCCCCTTTGAAATCAATCCCAGTCTTTCTGAGACGGGGGCTGCCCTGTTCCATAGTACAAGGTTAATCACTGCAGTGATCTATCAGAATTTACCAATGATTTATTAAGAGGTTAATCACTGCAGTGATTCATCACAGTCATGAACAGTATTGGCAGCACCTTGATTTGGTTCATATGGCAATGTTTTTTTCTCATTTTATTTTTGTTTTGTTTGAATCAATCAAGAAAGTTAAGGGGGTGCAGTACCGGAGCACATGTCTCAGTCTAGTGCCTGGATCTACAACAGCCACTTCCTTCAGCACGTGAAGAACAGTGAGACTGTGGGTTTAAGGCATTAAAACCGGCTCATTTAGSCTTCAGAAAAACACAGCTCTCCTTAACTGGCGGCACTGGGAGYGAGGAGAGGAGAGGTTTTTGCACATTGACCTACCTCGAAATCTATGAGCTGCAGGTTGGCGATGAGGGTCACCAGGAGGCCGCTGTTGTAGAGCTCCTGCGCCAGCTGGGCCACGAGCTCCGTGGGGGGCTCCTTGTCCGTGGTTCCACACAGGATCTCCTTCATGGCTTGCAGGGACTTCGACACTTCTTCTGAGGCCTGTGGACCAACACACAAYGTGCTTGGCCTTTGGGTTTTCCGAAACAGGTTTTGTCTGTTTTCGAAGACAAGCAGTTCGAAAGCAAAGCTGCTAACTGGGCCTGTGGCGACTGCATCTATTGCCAGACAGTTCCATATGGAGGAACTAYAGGAAGTTCCATAGGGAGGCCGCAGCATTCGCAGGGGATGCGGCAGGGCCTCCACAAGCACAAAGCTGTGTGGACCATGGAGCAGGGCCAGAAGGGCCCTACCAAGCTCTGCTTGTCTGACCTCGAGACAAGCCCCAGGTGGGATCCTGGCCAGGCAGACCCCGGCTGCCAGTGGTGGAGGCCACAGGACCTCCGTGTCCTCCTTGCAGGCTGATTATCCCGGCGTCTTCATAGATAACCCAAATGCATCCCAGGAACCTGCCCMCTTGGCATTGCCTCTACCTGTTCCACCCGTGCTCTGCGCCAGCATCTTCAGCGAGGACTTGCTCTACCGAGCTCCCGGGCACTGAAGCTGCAGGCGGGGAAATTATTAAACAACCTAAAGGGCTTTCAGTAAAACCCAACAGCTGCCACCAAACAAGCTAAAATAAGTCGTTCATCTTCTACTCCCACCTAATTTATTTTAATTCCATGCAATGTTTGAGCTGCCTAGCCTAGAATACAGATCAGGAATTGCCTTATGAGAGCTTACAATAGAAAAATGAGAGAGAAATGTGTATAAACAGGGCGCAGCTCTGTGTTGGTGGCAGTCAGCAGAGTTAGGTTTGAACTACAAAGTCCCTCTTTCAGAGGGAATCAACCACAGGCTACAGCTCTGTCTCTCTCCTCCTAGATTTGTTCCATTTTATATAAATATATGTAGATATGGTTCCATATCACATAAAAATAATAAATACTAATAATTATTAATTAATAATTAATAATAATGCTCCTTGGTGCAAGGGCTTAAATATTTCTTGCTGGTGTGTAAGTGCTCTAGCATTGGGCTGCCAGGGCATGGTGCTCTCGGAGCTGGAGTGTRTTAAACACGGGCATGACCTTCAGCTAGTGCACATGTAGGGTTGGCTGAGAGGTCTTTTTGGTGGAGAGTGGGAAGAAAGCAAAGGAAGAGTTTGGAAAGCAAAGCTGAGAAGGACAGGAAATTCCTAGGCCAAGTGATGAAAGCTTGGGAAGAAAGGACAGCATTGCCTATCTGCAGTGCACACACGGGCCTGAAGGAGTGCTGGGTTAGCTCAGCAGAAAACATAAAGGAGAGGAAAAATAGAAGCAGCCCAGCAAGACACACACGGAAAGCTCAAGAGTCACTGCAGAAAGCTAAATAGGCACGAGCTGCTGTCCAAACCCAGATCAATAACTTCATCAGCTCTCATACAGTATGAAAGGAAAAATGCACAGAATCAGAGGATGGCTGAGGTTGGAAGGGACCTCCAGAGGTCATCCAGTCCAACCCCCTGCTCCAGCAGGGACACCCAGAGCACGGGGCACAGGGCGGCAGCCAGGCGGGTTTGGGAGATCTCCAGAGAAGGAGACTCCACARCCTCCCTGGGCAGCCTGTGCCAGGGCTCTGTCACCCACCCCAATCACCACCCCAATCCACATAAAGCACCTCCAGAGCCTTCAGGAGAGACATCTCTGGACTGGTGTTGACCTCCCAACATTTTTATAGTGATCTAACTTCTGGATTTTATTGACATTAATATAAATCTAGAAAAAGCCACCTTCACATTACACCTACTGGGGAGATTCAAGTATTCACTTTGCATATACATGTAAAACATATAAAGGTAGAATTTCCCCCAACCTGTTGGTATCTGTTTTGCTGTTTTATGCTGGTTTACCTAGGCCCACATGAGTGGCATGTAAATCAATATGATTATGTTATTACTTCAAATATAGTAGCAGTCCTTTTGCTCCTTCATGTAGCTCTATAGAAGCGCCTTATTTTTAACCTCAAATGTTATCCCACAGAGTACAGATGGAATTAACACCATGGGTGACATTTTGTGAACTAAACCTCTAAATCTTCATAGGAACTGTGCAATTATTTGCTTATCCAAGGAAAAAAACAAACCTTTTTGGCTTTTCACTCTGCTTTGTAGAGTGTGAAAAYCTCTGTCAAAGACATTTTTTTAAAAAAATTACCCTTATTTTCCTTCTAAATAGTCCTTTCCAATATGTAGATGTCTACAAGCCTCAGGTTTAGTTCTTGAAGAGGAGGCCAAAACATATATTGCTAGAGGAGAAAAAACATCATTTTACCATCTCATGTCCTCCTTCTCATTGCCTCTTGTGCACATAATCTAAATTTCATGTTTAACTTACCCCTGCTTTCTGTTCTCTGGAATAGTCTGTGATCCATCATTCAATTCTCCACCAAAAGCAATTCCTGTTGATATCTAAGGGCCTCTCTTCTATCCCTATCCCATAAATCTATCTGTAAAGAAATTATAACTCCGAACACAAATTCTTGATATAACAACCACTTCTAGCCTCCACTTTGACACAATTTCTATTTAACATTACTGCAAGTTTAGAATAAAACCCCTCCAAAAAGCACCTGAGTGCTGTTTCTGGGATGGAAACTTGCTCAGGACCTGGAGGATAAATGCCTTCCACCTCAAAGCAAACTGAAAAGCAGGTATGTTTCCTAAGGCACATGGAAAATCGGAGACAACAGAGAGGTACCTCTAGAACAACTTCTCCTATGAAGCCAGGCACCTCCTGACCCTCTTCAGGAAAATCTGCAAAAAACACCAACTAAAACAAACCTCAGCAAGACCCTTGCACAAACAATCCCACACGCAGGACTTGAGGGACAAAAAGAGATGACAGAAACTATCAAGACTCCTCTGACTTCCATGCTACAGTTCACTTGACATCCGAAGTGCTCAGACCCAAGGGCGATGCTGCCAGCAGCAGAGGAAAAGTGCAGCAGCTGCCACCACTCTAACAGTTATGGAGCTGGGAAAAGGTCACAGGAAACACCCAAGTGCTTTAGCCGTTCCCCTCGTGCCTCCATGCAAGCACAGTCTTCTTCCTGATTTACTAGGCTGTGCCCCTCTAGGCATCAGGATGGAATTTATTCCATTATATTTTGGAGGAGTCTGTGAGAGGAAGAGGGGAGGCAGGATTACAGATCTCCACAGAATCCTAAATACAACAGTTCACATCATGTACAACTGTCAGAAGGGGAATATTTGGAACTTCTGGCAACTAAAGCCACAGAAAGAGTGACCAAGAAGACAAAATGCAAGCTGACCCCCAGCATCACCCCCAGTACCTGGAGCACTGGGTGCAGTTCTGGGCTCCCCAGTACAAGAGGGACGTGGAGCTTCTCGAGAGGGTCCAGTGGAGGGCAACAAAGATGATTAAGGGACTGGAACATCTCTCGTATGAGGAGAGACTGAGTGAGCTGGGCCTGTGTAGCTTGGAGAAGAGAAGGCTGAGAGGGGATAAGATTAACATGTATGAGTTCATGAAGAGGGGATCTAGAGGAAGGGGCCAAGCTCTTCTCAGTCACGCTCAGCCTCCCCTGCTGCTGAACTGGGGGTTTGGTCTCCATTCTTATCTCCTTCCATGCTTTGCAGCAAGTTCAACAGTTGGTTGGACACTCTGTGAGCTGAGGATACTCAGTCCCAAGCCGGGTTCCCTCACAGGTCTCACCATTACTGTCTTAACAGGATCACAGCAGAAAGAAGCTTTATGACCACGGTGTATGAGGAAGTTTAGCACCTGAGCGTGCATTAGGAGAGGTTAAACTCACACCCATTTGGATCAAGTTGTTGACCTCTACAGCAGGAGGCTGTTTCTGTTGCGTGTCCACAGTCAGGCCCCTGGCACCCCGTCAACTCCAAGACTTTTTAGGCACTAGGGCAGCATGTGCTGTAGGAAAAGGTCACTTAAGCCGCAAGCAATGTGAGACAGGAAATTGCACCTCTTAGTATTTAAAAATACTTTGYGCTTGAGGGCTTTGTAATTCTCTGTGATTTGGAAATGTGTGTTATTGCTCTGATCTCACATCCCCTTTCCCTTTTGGTGCTAAACGTGCCTGAAAATGCTCAGGCCCAAACGATTCCAGCTCTTCTGCAACGGGCGAAGGAGCTTCCCAAGCTGCCTCCTCCGCTTCTCCTGGCCATATGAAGAATTTCTTCCCAGAAAAACAGTCCACACTTTCCTCTCCTATTTGCAGCCTAATACAAATTAGAAGAACAGACCATCCGGTTGCAAAGCTCCAGTCTACMTCACAAAGATGCTACTCTAATGCTCCTCTGCCCTTATTGAAATATTTCAATATTCCTCTGTTATAAAACATCTTGCTCTTGTTAATTGTTAGGTTAACAATTAACTTGCTTTGCCAGGGAAGACAATTTTAGTTTTAGGCTTTTTATTTTATTTTTTTTAACTGATCTCTACAGGAGGGCTGAAGTACATAACAATAATCTTGGGATAATAGTTTATCAGGCTTGGAAAAAATATATCATTATTAAAGAATGCAGCCTAAACTATTACATTTTTCTCTATATTCCAATTATAGAAGACAGCTTAACAATACATAGCTTTTATATTAAAGGATTACAAAGTGATCCTACGGGTCTGAATTTTTTTTCTATTCTTGCAAAACATCCCAATTTCCTACAGAGAGATTTTAAAGGGTAACATGCAAGGCTAAAACAGAGGACTAATCTGCTGTTCACGCAGAAGGCTGAATTTTTATTTCCATAGTTATGTGATTTTTTTCCATGCTCAAAGGCCAAGCTGCCTTTCCTGCAATAGTGCTCGTGAGCGCTACAGCAAAACACACAAGGCAGATATTTTGCTTTGGAAATAGAAACTTTGTACAAACAGGTTTGGAGAAGTCCCTCAGGACATCACAGAGATGCTTTAACAAGAGGCCCCAACTTGAGCAGCTTTCCTTAAGTTTCTAGCTCCATGGCCTAATACATCTCAAGCTCTGCCTGTAAGTTTTGTTCTATCCTTCTCCTTAACCACCACCTACAGCAAAAAAACTCT